AAGTACAGTAGGTATTAAAAATGCTTACTTACCATTATCTTGTCTTGCTTATACCTTTCTGTTCTTTTATAAGACATATTTCATTGTATTAACTGTTTTAATCGTGAGAGAAAATTGATTTTCTCATCATATTTTACCCAAAGAAAAGGGTTAAAACGAAGCAATTTAGCGCCTGCAAATTTCCGAAAATTAGGTCGACGTAATCTTTAAGAATTCGGAGCAACTGCCTCGACGAATTTGGGGCTTTTTATCATACACGCTTACACATATCTACGGGCGACTTTCTCTTGCTCGAAGCTTAACGCTGTAATGCATTGTCCTATTAGCAACTGGGCGGAAGTGATAACAACTACTTTATTATCCGGATAGCGGCGGTGTAATTTATAATGCGCTAACTCAACATCAACAGAAATGAAGGCGTTCGGGTCGGGTCATCCGGGAGCGGCGTTAGTCCCATATTCACATGTTCCCGTACACCCGATACCGGCCTAGGAAAGTTCGAGATAAATGGTACAAAAGCGATATTAGGGTTGCATGTTTCAATGGTCGCGTTCGCATATTGTTCGACCGAATATAATGAGTTGTAAAGTTGATAAGACAACTGGGATTTATAAGGGATAGGAATAATGATAAAGGATTATATTTTAGGTCATATTTAACTGATTGCGAATTACTGCCAGTATCGGTTGGTTTAATTAGTTTTGAAATGGGTTCGTCCCTAAAAAGGGCTCTACCATACATTCTAATCCAAATTCTCATATTTTTAGTAGCAGATATAAAATAATGATGTGGGTTAAAATAATAATGTAATAATCTTTACTATCTATCTAAAATATTAACCTCTCTTTATCCGATGTATGTATTTTAAAATTCAATTAAATATTTCTCGCATTGAATCATTAAATATTTGAAATACCGGAAGTAAATTTAGAAATTTTATTCACCTGATGAATTGCAAAATTAGTCCTTGCAGGAACTTACCTTCTTGCGTCGAATATACGGAAAAAAGTGTGTCACAACAAAAATAATCCAACATCCATTGCAATTACTTAACCTAATACCTCCATAAGGCTAATACCTCCACAGTGGCATTTCCTTCGAGCACGTTATTTCACTTCGTAATCAAAATTTCCGAGCAAACCGCACCAATTTTCCTCGCCCGTCGTGAAATTAGTATGTCGTAAATGTATTACACCTACGCGTGTGATACGAGAACAGAATTCAGGATAATTGTCTGTAATATATTATTGAGCCGTTTAATTCCTTATTTAAACGATGCAGTCTTTGTGAAGGTAACCAATTTGTGTTCTTATGAATTATTGTTGTATCAGCGGCTCCGGAAAATTTCATTATAAGCACATGAATTCACGATGATGCCGCAGCGACTATGTATTCATAGATTTGAGCGTCGTCGTTTATTTTTCGTTAAAATTTCATTAATTTCTCAGGAGGATGATTTTTCATTCTGCTAATCAACATATTTATTGTTATAAACTTTTCCAATTACATTTTGTAATGTAAATGTTACAGTACATCAGGAATTTTCCATTTGCGGAGAGAGGAAAGTGGTGAGAATTTAGTTTTTATGGAAAAATATAAGTGGTCTCATTATCACATTTTTCTCTAAAAACGTGTTAAGTTTGAATTTTATTTCATTAAACGAGGAAAAGAAATTAAATTCGTAGAAGTTATATGTGCGGTAATCTTTTTCATAGGGCATTTGGAACTTTTATTAATCACAAAAAAAGAAAGCCACGGTCTGGGGATCTTCTAAAATGAAATTGACCTCTTTCTCGAGCCGAAAAATGATAATAGAGATTTATTTTTGACGCCATTTATTCCCGCCGAAATCCTTCCTGGCACCTGAAATAGGATGACTGTCTTTCCTCTACGATCTGCACGGTTTGTCGGTCGCTCAATATCTAGGAACACAATGCTGATCCCATTTTATTATATGGCTTATGGCATTAGGGAACTGGTGAAGGGACGTCGGGAGAAAATATGGCGTTTGTAGCCAAAAGGGCAAAGGTTTTTACATTTTATTGCAGAAAGATAGTGGACACGAAATATGTATGAGGGTGGAATACAAGAAAATAAATCCCGGGAAAGATGTTGAGTCAATACGGTCCCTGCTTTGATTCACATATGAATTATAGGAAAATATTTCTGCGTTTCTCTGCTCGGAGCGTCGTCCTCGCTGCGATATGCAAAATTTATTTGGTGTGAAAATATCGCAGATATAACTTTTCCAAAACTCGAATTGAATAACTGATACGAAATAACAATTTCTAAAATGAATATTTCTTCATAATTCTTTAACACAAAACGCAATCAATATTACATGGTGTTTATAATCCTATTCTATGGTTGACTTCTGAGTTTTATTCGAAAGTTTTTATTTCAGTTTTAAGATTAAAGAAAGTTTTATATTAAATTCGTTTTTCTCATATACATAAATGTTTTTATGCGTTAATAATATACGATATACTAGTTGCATTGTTAGGTAAGTACATACAATAAAAAACCCATTTTTTCCACAATTGGATAACAACTTAAATTAATTTAATGTTTGCACAATAACCAAACTGAAACGACGATTTATTTATCGGCGTAATAAAGTGCATATTAAATATGCATCCTAAATACGCAATAAACATATATTTCTGATAAGGGCATTATTACCGGCATAAAGGACATAAAGTACCGACGTATTTTTATTTATGATATTGAGATATTTATCAGTTTTGGTATGTTTCATCATTGAGGGAAATGGGCTGTAGGTATACACCGGTCCCGTTAATACGATAGCCGTACTGTATGTGATCCCACACTCCATCGGGATTGTCATTAATCTTGATTACGGTGGTCGTTAATTAACGTTGGTTTTTGCTCTCCTTTTACCAGGCCAATCAAACGTTGTTTATAGAGTACCTCCAAAAAATACTGTATATCTTAGTGATTTTTGATACTGTTAATTTAAAAGTATGTTACTAAATAATACTATTAATTCAATTATAAATAGTATAGCTCACAAACTAATAATGCATTTTCTGCAGATAATATGAGAAGAGAGTCATCAGTCTTGGTGTTTGCTTCTCAGAGATATAATTCACACAAATATAATGGGCTTACGTATTTTATATTTTTCTCCTCTGGGACAGGAAAGTCAACCAAAGTTTCTTTACAATTTATTATACCGCGTTCTATCCCTTTTGTGCAAAAGTTATCTGATTAAAGGCGACATAAAACACTCCTTTACTTTTCTTAAGAAAATCAGGCTTGTTGTATTTCTGTTTATTATGATTCTCGAGCGTAACGCCTAAACAAAACTAAATACTAAAATCCCGCAGGGCGCAATACTTTTTTGGAATAAATGGCTCGGAAAACTGTTGTAGCATACAACCGGCTCGCCCTTTGCTGTAGCATGTATTTGTCTCTTTTATTTTTATTTATCTCGTGCTGTTTCTTTCCCTAGGCAGTTTTTCGTTTTCTCGTTCAATTTCTCGGCCTCATTTAAAGCTATTACTTTCAATTTCTTGAAGACATATGTATGTACTCGAAATAAATTTTGCCATGGAAAATATTCCACACAAGTTATAAGCGTGTTAAAAATGCTTTAATGTATTAATAATAAAAGTAATTAAATCTTTTTTTTTCTCTTCCATTATTATTCTCATGAATACCATTTATTTTTTAAACTTGCTTTTTAGTAGTAATTGGCGAGCACTGCATACTATTGTATTAATTACGAACCATAAGCAGAGAGCACAATATGTGGGCAAGCAAACAAAAAATACGTAAATACCTGTAAAAAATAATTTACAAAGCACAATGCATAGAGAGTAAACATTCGGGGTATTGTTTCGATTCAACAGTTTCAATAATGTTTAACCAATGGTATCACGTTATACAATAAGGTCGATGCATATGTTTATTAATTAATATAATGAATTGTATATTCTGAAAATTGAAAAGGTTCAAAGCACAATAGTTGTTATTTATGCAACAACATATTACGTGTAATTTAGGTAACGATATCGAGCCCCATTATTTTGAAATTTATACTTAATTAATTCGACGAGCCAAATGCGCACAATTACAGGATAATACATATGTTTTTGTTTATTTAAAATAAAATTAAAATAGAGTGGGATTAAAGCTTACGATTTTTCTATTTTCTGTTACCTACAAGGTTTTCATAGAAGTGAAGTTGTACACTTTCTAGGTAACACATGTACACATCCTTTAGCTTTAAATTAAAATCATAATCAATCACGAGCTAGAAAAAAATAAGAGAAACAGGCTACTCGTGCTAACGACTAAAATGATACATGTTGGTATCAAAAAGCTAGAAGTAGTCGATGATTAATGTCCCGGATAAATTTTTGATAACTGCAATTTTTCCGAGTGCGCAAACAATTTATTCTCGAGTACGAAGGTTTATAAAATAGGAAATTCCATTGCGACTTTTATTTTTAAATTGCAAGCGAATATTTAGAGATTTTTATTTCGAGATTTTTCTTGACTTAATTCCGCACTAGGTAAATGCGTTAAATATTTTATTTTTATAGAGGTAATAATCATAATAATACGATAATAAGATCTTTCCGATATAATATTTGATTCGCCATTCAAGCTCGACTTTATGGAATTTCAAATTGCGCCTGTACTTTGGAATAAATGGGATATATTTTTAGCATTCCGCCGTATGCGCGCACCTACCTACATTGTCGTCAGCAGATATGGGATTTGATATGAGTCTTCGAAAGAGGATTGAGAATTCTGAAAGAGAGATTTAACGAAAGTGGATCACAATGAAAGAGCAAACGCCATTTGAGATGCAAAAATTCGTCGAGAAACTGTAAGTGCTCTTCTGAGCAATTGATTCAAAATGAAAACAAATTGACTTACCGTCGACGCTTATGTAAGTCACATACAGGGCGAAACAATAATAGACAAAGGTAAATAAAAATCACAAACAGTTTTTTTATAGTTTTAAATCAACCGTATTTAAATTTTTTCGTGTAACAATAATTATTCGCCTCTTTGGTTCCCACTGCCATTAAATTACCGATATTATTCATTAAATCCACCACGTAAATCGTAAGTATTTGATGTTCGCCTATTCCAGTAAACACAGCGACTTCGTTCCAATACAAGTTATTCTGGCCTTTTACAAACGAACACGGAATGCAGGTTTTATCGGCTATAGCTTTGAACAGCAGCGCTTTTTCGCAATGAAACCCAATTCTCAGATAACCGATGGGTATCATGTTGGTGCCTAATTTGAACCTAAGCGTCTGCAAATGCAATTTGAACGTGTGGAACTTCTGCGGTAGATTCGTGTCCTCTTCGGGCCCGCACAGAACCGTGTCCACGTACTCGGCCAGTATGCGGATTTTTTTGATCACGTCCCCCTGTTTCTCGAAGTATTGTTTAATGTGATAGATGTACGAGGGTAGGAACGGATCGGGCGATAATTCGCCGTATTTTATCTCATAGGGAGAGGAGATCAGCGAAACGATAGCTGGATCATCGACCTTCTGCGGGGCGTTCTCGTTCGGATGGCAATTTTCCGGAAGCGGTTTCGGCTTGGCCCTTTCGAACGTATAATCCACTACGTAGATGGTTTTTCTAGGCGACAGTTTTTCAGATTGAAATATTTCCAGAAACGGAAACGGCTCCTTCCACTCCCCGAATATCAAGTAGAACTGGTTGTTTAGTTTGTCTGTTATTTCTAAACGGGCCAATTCGAAGAATTTCAACGGCAAGTAAACGTCGAAAATTAATTGCAGGATCGTTTGTATCAGAGGTGCTTTTCGCTTCACATCTTCCGAAAATCCTTTTAGAATTTGTACAATGTTCCTTCGGATGAACTCCATGATGATAGGCTCGTTGGATAGCGCGCAATGGATGAGAACTAGCAAATTTTTGAAGAGAAATTCGTTTTTTGTTGATTTTAGTTTATCCAAGATCACGGCCGGTCCGCTGTTCCGGATGAAAATTCCAGTGAAATCCGGCAGTGGCATGAAATAAGTAATCAACTCCACGCTGAAAATCGATATATCCTCCGATCCGTACTTCAAGACCCAGCACAATTCCTCGAAAAACTTATCGCATATAATCGTCTCTTTATAAATCGGATGCACCGAGAACTGATACAACATCTCCACTACTCTCAAGTACGTTTCTTCGCTATACGCGTTCGGACCCTGCCTGAACATATCTATAAAAGTTTGCTGGGCGTTGAAATGGTTTAAAAAATCTATAGTTTTTAACGATCTCCTCACGAGCTCCACGATTGTTTTAATAACGACCGCGTTCTCGGGATCTTCTTCTTCGCGTTTCTCCATCATTGTGCACAGCGATTTTATGAGCATCGGCGTCACTATTTGCTCGCAGCAGTACTTGTGCTCGCTCAAGTTCGATATCGCCTCGCAGGCTCTGTTCAGTATGTACCGATTGGTGCTCCTGAAGAAGAACAAAATCGATTGTTCCACAGACAGATCGAACAAGGTTTGTCTCAGATGCGGCATGGCGCATAATTTCGAGAACATCTCGATGCACGGTTTCAAGTACTCCACGTCGCAGGTTTTAACCCACAAACAGAACTTCAGGAATTGTATCGACTCGACGAAGTAGTAGGAAGTAAAATCGGAGTTCATGCAGTTGAGGATTATCCTGAGGGCGACGTCGTGATTGTCCTTCAAAGCCGGATTCATTACGATTTCCATCATTTTCTCCACCAGGTGGTTGTGCCTGAAGATGTTCTGGTAGACGTCCAGTCCGAACATGGTGAGTTTTTCGATTATGTCGTAGGTTAGCTTGGAAATTTCGGGGTCCTCGTCGTTCATGTAATCGAGTATGACGGTGATATCGAACTTTTGCAGTTCTGGTAACACGCTTATGACGGCAGGAGAGCGCAGGAGGTAGTCGAGGAGCTTTATAGTCGTTTTCAGCAGGCTCTCGTTTTTCTTGGATTGCAACGTTTGAAGAATGGGATTCAACAAATTCACGGAAAAAATGAGATTCGTGATTCTGCAAGTCGCTGCTAATTTTATTAGAATGTTCAACGAGAACTGCCGCACGTAGTTGTCCTCGTGCCGGATGTAAAATTCCGTTATTTGCTTTATTTTGTCGTCGTAAATGCCTTCGTTGAATTCCACCATCACGTCCTCTACGTCTAAAAGTATGTTCAATAGGCGCAATGCTAACCTTAATATGCATATGTTCCTTTGAAACAGATCCAACAGCTTCTTTAGCAGACCCCTTTGTTGAAGGTACGTTAAATTCACTAAACGAATATCCGCGTATTTAGAGAGAAATAACAGTGCCTCTAAAACGATATCATTTTCGGGGCTTTCTAGAATTGAAATGGACGTTTCGACGTTTCTCGTTAAATATGTTTTTTCCTTAATATCATCGGGTTGTTTGGAATCTAATTTAGTTTTCTTCTTTACTGCTTTTGATGACATTCTAGCTGCAATAGCAAACGTACAGTTCAGTTATAAAAGGAATATTAAATTTGTTTAGTGTTATTAAAAATGATGTATAAGTGACAATTATAAAATAATATAGAAAAATAAGAAGAAATGTACAGAGGTATTAAAAGATTATAAAAATTTTAAAGCAATCCGGTAATGGAAGATTATTTCCAACTGTGAATTTCCTCATCCTTTTAATGCTTTTATCACGTCTGCACTTTTTAAAATATTTTTACATAGTAGACGTGCAGGCATTGTAGTTACTTAATAATGCACATGTATGTCGTAGAATTGGTTTGAAATTTAATCATGGGCGTTCATAATTTAGTTTCCATTTTGAACTTTAAATTTTCATGTCCGCAAAGTGCTGAAAGGACCCCGCACAATTTAACGCCAATTAGTCGAAGGATAATTCAGGTCGGTGTATTCTGCGGAATGCGTCTGGGCAGCGAGACAAATTCAACGAAACCCCCGTTGTTGCATGTCGCCCTCGTTTCGTTACATCAGCCCGACTCCAATATAACCCTTTTAGGTATTTCGCTGTTTCGTCGGTGAGCGTTTTGTGTAAAAATAGGAGCTCTGTCAGTCGTACAATATTCAAATGGCAGCTGTGCTTTCATGCTTACCATGAGTTGCATTCGCAATTTTCACACGTTTCTGGATACAGATTAAAGCCGGGTATCATCTGCCAAATTTACGTTCATGGCGCAGGACAATGGTGCAATAATTAGGAGTATTCTAAAGGGTCGCATAACACTCGCAGCGTAGTAAATGACTATCACAATGTGGGTAATTAAACGGTTCAATTAGCTCGAATAGTATCATCTGTAGGATTACACCGAGCTGAAACGCGTTTAACAGTGATAAAGGAGAATAAAGAAATAATAAGAGGATCTATAGCAACTCATTATATAAACTTACATGTCTGTTGGACAGAGATTTCTCTTGTACTTTATTAGTTATGAGCTCGTCCTCTGGTAATCCTTTAAAATATTCCCTAGATATTCCATATAGATAGAGACTAGTTTCTATTAAGTACTTTGTGTTATAATAGGGAGTTTTAAGAATACTTTTAAAGTTAAAAAGATATTACTATTACAAACATTTTTTTAATAACATAACTTATATTCCTGAATATGGCTTTGATATCAAGATCCAAAGAGAAAATATCACTGGGCTATCAAAGTGAGTTTAGAGTAAAATTTCATTTTGTATTTATTCTGTTGGAACGTTGTAATATCCTTTTAATATAAGTTTCAGTTGTAGTTATAACATTTTCTATCTTCGTGTAATCGACTTGGTTTCCGGCATGCGGACCAAAAGCTAAAGAACCAATATATCCTTTCATGGAAAAATCGTTTAATAAATAAGCCGTCGCATCGATAATCTTCGGGTTATCTTTATTTATCGACGCCGCTACATATATTATTCTTAGAATAGCCGTTTCGATGTGATTTGAGATTCGATAAACTTTGGTGAAATATGCTTAGTCGGCTTTGGGAAACTATGCGCATTATATATCTATAGAAAACGTTCTTTTTCCCCTTTCCTCATGACTGGGCAGAATCGCTATAAAGTAGGTCTATTACCCGTTCAAAATCTATTCAAACGGCAGCAATGTATAATGGCGGCCCCTTGCTTTGTACTTTCAATCCCAGTTATAAAAGTCAGACGCGGATGAAAAGTTTCTCTATAAAGACGACAAAGTTCCCGGAGTTATGCGATGGATGTCGATGTTTTGTCATGTATAGGTGGAATTTTTATATCGAAAAATAATAATGCATTATGGATAAGTTCGGTCGGCTGCAGATGATGGTGAAACTCTCGTATACTTCCTCTATATTCCGTTGTCCACTTTTGTATGACCCGAATAATGCGGGATCTTTTTTTTTATTACCTCAGAAAAAGTTTTCCCGCAATAAAAAAAGATCGTGAAAACAATAATAAAAAATCAGGCTCGTATTAACTGCGCCATAAACCCCAGTTTAGGCTCTTATATAATCTCAGTTTCTATACAAAATGACCATCGAAATCAGGTAAATGCATTCAGACTAAAATTCTCGCTTGATTTCCAAAAAAAAAACTAAATAACTTCTTCATCCGCGTCGAGCCAAACTTTCCTCAAACTCGGCGGAATATTTTTGTCAGTTGAAGATTATAAAAGTGTGTTTGTTCCAAAGAAATAGATTTCTCATTGTTTTTATCCGAAATGCGTCACGTACAGCAGCTTACTGCAGTTTTTAACTGTTAACTTAAATTGAAGTTTCCGCGAAGTTTCATTACACAGCGATGGTCGACTTTTCAAAACAAAACTTCCGAAACGTATTCGCTCCGCAGTTATTTCATAACGGACGTAAAACGAGATTTAATTGAACTGAAAGAGGATTAAAATGGCGGATAAATTCCATCTGCTGGGATAATGGCCCAATATTTATGCGACGATAATCGAATTAAGTTTTATTACGATACGTTATTGGTTATCGGATGCAATGCAGCACGGATAAAAGCTCCCTATGGATTTATTTATGTCAATTATACTTATTTATAAATATTTTGATTTGACGTCCGCTTTTAGCAAATATCCATTTTATGAAAGTATTTATGGTCATCGAATATTTCCATATAGTAGTGTCTATACAAGTCATTTATGTTATTATTAATTTATATTTCATTGGTTAATTAATTGGCATGAATTAGGTTCAACTCTAATATCACTTTTTGTATGATTTATAATTACTCTAATAAATTAATTAAAAGAGCCAACATTCCGATTATTTTGGAATAACGAATTTCTCGAACGCAAACCACATATTTTAAAGTAACAAAATATCGTTTTGCACTGAAGTAGATTTACGGTTTGGCGTTTTTCCTGTGTCAAAATTATACATTCTGGAAAAGTAGAGAAAACGTCAAACAAGAAACTCAACAAAAGCCATCCAACAGTTTCCTTCAATAGCTACCTGCGTCGCTCAGAGTGACTGTTAGAGTAAATAGAACTATATTCAGTGTGGAAATTCGATAGGATTTTCTTTGTGTAAGTGAACACTGAATCCGGCACGAATAAACCGAACACATTTTCATGGATTATATGCAAAGCTTTGTGTACTAAAGGAAAAATGCTACAGAACGCGCAACTTGGGAAATGATTTCAACGGGTTAAAGTCGATTTGAAAGAATATTTTAATTTATTTGGTCCCTGTGCAATGTAGAATATTGCACATAAAGGAATGATATAGACAAGGAAATTATTTAAATTATTTTCCACTGCTATTGTTATACAGTACTCATAAAAATAAAGTGGTATATTAAAGCCAATTAACTAACTTCAAATAAGAGTATTTTTCAATAGAGTATCTACATAAAAGACTTATTTTTACAGTTAAGTAGGTATTATACTCGTAATTTCTTTTTGTGCAAAATATCCATCCCTATATAATTTATCTCAAAAACTACACTTACAGTAAGCAACTTTGAATAATTTTCAATAAACTTCGACGCAAGCCGATCTTCCACTAATTGAAAGAGAATATTCCTGAAAATTGAGCCGTTCTAAAATATCTACTAAACCCTAGAATTCAAGTCGAGTTCAATTTTGTAGTACCGACGTATCGACTTTCGCTGCAAGCCGCAATTCCGAACGTAAATTACGCTAAAACAAAAAAACTAGAAACTCGTAAAATACAGCGGGAAGCAGGAAGTCTCATTCTTCGACGATTATGCGTCTTTAAAATAAATTCCTTAATTCTCATTTAAGTCCGGCATTCCGGCTAAGCCTCCTCCAACAAAGCGTAATCGAATAATAGTTACTGAAGTAAGTAATTTGTTATATCAAACGGAAAATCCCCGGGATTATTCCGTTTATTAGATTATAAGGACCGAGAAATAAATACGAGCTGCGGGGACGATCTGATCAAATTAACTTAACTAGCTACTGAGGTGAATATCATTGATAACTATCCGGGCCCGTGATTTTCCTAAATGAGATTATTCCCGTTCGTATGAGTGAGCATTCCGGCGGATTCTCCTGCGGTATCGGTTCTGGAGAGTAAATAATATCGATGTATTAGATGGGTGAATAGCGGGAGCACGAGAGCTTTATTGGATTTTTAGTTTCATTTGATCGGCTGTCGGGAAATAATATATATCACATATCGTTCATAAAATACGAAATGAGAATAAAATCGGGACTAGTAAACGACGGATTTAAAAATTAGATGAGTTTCAGTATCACAAACGAGGGAATTTGAATAAAAGAGTTCTGAGAGATTTTTAGACAGTATATTCGTAATTTTGATTTATGAGCTTTTAAAATGTATCTACTATGTAATAAATTAGTAATACCATATTTTTGATAAATTTCTCACGATTGTAAGTTTTCTTTACTAATTTAACCAAGTTTTTGTAAAGAAATACAGGTAATTAATGGGACCAAAGTGTGATAAAGATTAAGATTTTCTGAAAAACTCACCAATACTTATTTTGCGACTTACTGGGGAAACGCGAGAACGTGCGAGAAGATGGTTTTGGGGAGGTCAAAGTTATAAAAAAGACCCGAAATGGGGAAAATCGCTTCGGTCCGAAACTTTCAGGAAGAATTTAGAGAAGTTTGATGTCGCTTTAAGGAAGTAATAGAATAGGACGAATTTCTTCTAATGTGGAAACATCGACAGAAACGAGTGTAAGCTTTTAAATTAAGTGATTTGCTGATAAAGTCGATGCCTTCAAAAAATCTATAGGTACGCCAAAATTAATTGATTAGATACAACATTGCAAAATTCTCTCCATTCGACGAATGCATACGGCATAAAAAAGTTATTAAAAAATCATCTTCTTCGAGTCAGAAAATACCAGAAACGATTATTCCGCCATAAATATCCCCTAACACGCTGAGATACGTATCTCTTCCATTTCACCACCTCAGAGAAACCGCCAATGACCTAACATAAAACGCGAAATTTTAAATAGCAGCGGGAAATTGCAGCGAGATATCGATTTT